TGCCAAGAATTTGCTTTAGAAAAAGAAACAGAGATGCCTTCAACACAGTAACTCAACTGTTTAATACTAATGTGAAGTCTTCTAGTAGATATATTAGTTTTAAATTTTGAATGGCTTTGTGTCTTTCTCTTCAATATCCAATACACTGCTTCCTTCCCAAGGGTAAAAGAACAGAATTGGCCTTTATTGCTATGTCACAAACATTTTGGTGGCTCAAGAGAAGTGCTCAGTAAGTACTTAGGAAACAGAGGAGGAGCTTATCTGATTGTATTTCATAACCAAAAATACATTTGAGAAACCTGAATCTAGTCACCTTGTTCAACATGTCTAACACTTGGATCTACTTGCTGTCCCTTACTGAATACTCTGAAAGGAATAAAGTGGATTTCCCTTTAGCCAGTTTTAAAAAACAACTAGGGTTCATAAAATACAAAAGTATGATTTTATTTATATAAAACTCTAGCAAATGTAAGCTAACTTATTTGACAGAAAAAATGACCTTGGGTATAGAGATGGATGAGAAGGGACAGGAAATAGGAATGGCAAAGCAACATAATGAATTTTGGAAGTGATTATCTTGACTAGTGGTAGTTCCTTGAGTATAAACATATGCCCAAACTAAGTTGTAAATTTTTAAGAATATGTGTCACCAGGTGGCGACTGTAACATGAGGGCCTGCTTGTGGGGGTTTCTGTCCTGCCCAGTACCCACAGCTGGCAAGTCCCAAAGAAAATCACACAGAGGTCTCCATAAGATTATAAGCTGATCTTGGTGAGTTCCCAGTAGAACATCCCCATTGTCTCAGTGTGTGGGTGCACCCCTCATGGTCCTGAGTTCCTTGCTCGTGCTCTCTCTCCTTCTGCTCCTGATTTGGACCTTGAGAATTCAGTCCTGTGCTCCAATGTAGGTCTCTATCTCTGTCTCCTTTCATCTCCTGCTGAAGGTTAATATTCAGGAGGATGCCTATATGTTTTTCTTTGGGTTCTCCTTATTTAGCTTCTCTAGGATCACTAATTATAGGCTCAATGTCCTTGGTTTATGTCTAGAAACCAAATATGAGTGAGTACATCCCATGTTCCTCTTTTTGTGTCTGGCTTACCTCACTCAGGTCTGGAAAAGCCTGGGATAAAACCGGACTCTCTGAACATAACGGACAATGAGGACTACTGAGAACTCAAGAACAATGACACTGGGTTTCTGATCCTACTGCACGTACTGGCTTTGTGGGAGCCTAGGCAGTTTGGATGCTCAACTTACTAGACCTGGATGGAGGTGGGGGGTTCCTTGGACTTCCCACAGGACAGGGAACCCTGATTGCTTTTCGGGCTGGGGGGGGGGACTTAATTAGGGGAGGGGGAGGGAAATGGGAGGCGGTGGCTGGGAAGAGACAGAAATCTTTAATAAATAAATAAATTAAAAAAAAAAGATTATAAGCTGATTGACCCATTAGCTCAGGCTTCGTATTAGCTCTTATAACGTATACCAGCCCATTATTCTAGTATATGTTAGCCACATGGCTTGGTACCTTTTTCGGCAGAGTAGGTCACATCTTGCTTCTTCGGTGGTCTGGGCAGGACTGGGGGAAAAGCTTCCTTCTTCCCAGAATACTTCTGTTCTCATTGCCCACCTCTACTTCCTATCTGATTTTAACGCCTATACTTCCTGCCTGGCTACCGACCAATCAGGGTTTATTTAAAACATAATTGACAGAATACAGACAATTCTCCCACACTAGGTAATGACTCACGATTTTAATTCCAGCACTCAGGAGGCAGAGACAAGCAGATCTCTGTGAGTTTAAGGCTAGTCTGGCCTACAGAGTGGGTTCCAGGATAGCCAGGGCTGCTGCGCAGAGAAACCTTGTCTCACCTGCCCCCTTCCCCTCAAAATAATTATGTTGTGTCATATTCTTAAAGAGAATGGCTCGGTGGTTTAGAGTACCTGATGCTCTTCGGGAGGATTTGATTCTCAGCATCCATATAGGGTGGCTCACAACTGTGTCCACCTCCCTGGATTGCCCCTTTCTGGCCTTGAACATCTGCACATATATCTACCAACACAAATATACATAAATAAAAGTAAAATCTTGTTGTATGTTTGTATATGCATGTCCCTGAGTGTATGTATGTACACCATGTACATGGAAGAACCTGAAGGGGTCAGAAGAGGATGCCAGATCCCCCGGAACTGGAGTTATAGGCAATTATGACAAATTAGGTGGGAACCAAACTCAAGTCCTCTACGAGGGACAGTAAATGCTCCCAGCTGCTCACCCATCTCTCCAGGCCTGTGCTGGATAGTTTTATATCAAGTTGGTACAAGCTAGGGTTATCTGAATCTTAATTCAGAAAATGCTTCCATAAGATCCAGCTATAGGACATGTTCTTAATTAGTGATTGGTGGGGGAGGGCCCAACCCACTGTGGGTGGTACCATCCCTGGGCTCATGGTCCTGTGTTCTATTAAAAAGCAGTCTGAGCAAGCCATGGGAAGCTAGCCAGTCAACAGCACCCTTCCATGGCCTCTGTATCAGCTCCTGCCTCCAGGCCCCTGCCCTGATTTCCTCCAGTGATGGACTATAATCTGGAAGTGTAAGCCAAATAAATCCCTTCTATCCCGACTTGCTTTTGTTCATGATGTTTCATCACAGCAATAGAAACTCTTAAGACAAGCACCAAATTGTAATAAATCTTTTAAAAAAGAATATCTAACATATCAAATAAAATTGTAGTTAACAAAATTGTTGCAAGATATATATATATATATATATATATATATATATATATATATATATTATGGGAAAAAATATGAAAAGACAAAGTCATATCAAATTATAAACTACCTAACTCTTTCTTGTATGTTATCTTGGAGATGAAAATGAGGCTGTCACAAGTACTCTACTACTAAGTACAAACTCAGCCCTTGCTTTTAGGTGAAGTAATTTAATAAAGATATCCCCACTTAAACCACAGCACAAGTAATATGTTTGACTCCAAGAAAACAGATTATTAGCTACTCATATTAACCTACATTGAAAGCATAGGAAACCCAGAAACCCCAAAAATTTGATTGTACTTTTTTCAAAATATGGTTAAATGGCAAAGGAGACTAGTAAATTCTTTGAGTAAGTACATGAGAAATTATCTAACAATAGAAAAATGGTACTTTCTTTTATCTTATGTGTATAGGTATTTTATAACTTATTTTATCTTATGTGTACAGGTGCTTTGTCTGCATGCCATGCATGTCTACGTATAAGGTTTATGCCTGGTGCAGTAATTTTTTTGGGAGAGAGTAGCAACAAATATCCCCAAAGCAAGAGAACTCAGTTGAAAAAGAGAACTAACTGAATCCTTCCTTGCAATGTATGGGAAACACCAATAACTGGAGCCCCTACAACCTTTACTAATGCAAATAAATCAGGAAAGGCAGGCTACACATCAGAAAACTTAGTAAAGTGGATCAAAGGCCTTATGATTCTGTACAAAGGTCAGAATTATATGCTATCTCATGGTATTAATGGAGTAAGTTAATATCTGACTCTGAGTTTTTATTATTAAGACCAATTAGAATTCATACTATACACTCTTTCTTTCTTTCTTTCCTTTTTTTTTTTTTTTTTTGAGACAGGGTTTCTCGGTGTAGCCCTGAATATCCTGGAACCCTCTATAGACCAAACTGGCCTTAAATTTACAAGGATCCACCTTCTTCTTTTGTCTATCAAGCACCTGGATTAAATGTATGTGTCACCACCACTCAGAGCCACTGTTGTTCAATTAAATATTTTGGCATCATAAAATCTATTTATATACATTATATAATTTTTTAAACGGTAAAACGATAACTTTTATTTATTTATTTATTTATTTATTTTGGGTTTTCGAGACAGGGTTTCTCTGTGGTTTTGGAGCCTGTCCTGGAACTAGCTCTTGTAGACCAGGCTGGTCTCGAACTCACAGAGATCCGCCTGCCTCTGCCTCCCAAGTGCTGGGATTAAAGGCGTGCGCCACCACCGCCCGGCTTTTTTTTTTTTTTTTTTTTTTAGTTTTTCGAGACAGGGCTTCTCTGTTTCTCTGTAGCATTGGAGCCTGCCTCTGCCTCCCAAATACTGAGATTAAAGGCATGTGCAACCACCACCAGGTGGCTAGCTTTTCTTAGTTTACCTTGTGTGGACATAAAACTAAAGTCTAGTGTTTCTTTAATAATGCCAAAAGTAGAGGCTAGAGAACTGTCTCAGCCATTAACAGTACTGGTTTCTCTTCTGGAAGACCGAGGTTTTAACCCCAGCACCACATGGTAGCTTACAACCTTCTCTTAAAGCCAGTTCCAATTCTCTTCTGGTCTCCACAGCTATTGAATACAAATTTTGCACAGGCTTACACGTGGGCAAAACACTCATACCCATAAAAATAAAATAATTTTTAAAACATTTTTTAATTCTAAAAATTTTTTTTTGCAGTTTTAAGTGTACTGCAATATAGAAAAACATGAAGATGACTATTGTCTACAACTCCTCTGTAACTTCCCATAAGTGGAAAACTGAGGCAAACTATGTCAGCATATTAAATTAAACATTACCACATTAAAAATAAACAACTATGGAATTTTAAAACAAATAATTATTGACATTTTAATGTAGTTTAATTCAAACATTAAATAGGAAAAAGGCAAAAGCAAAATGAAATAGTTGCATTAATTCCATATAACTATCACTGAGATGATATTGTTCATTTGTAATTAACATAAATAAAAAATATCCACACTCACTAAATAAACTGATACTTCATAAAGCTTCATAACATGGAAAAAGCCTTGTGGGGTTTTTATATTGCATAGTCTACCCTCACCAGGTGAAATAAGAGTATCAAATATCTTTAAACTAAAACATGGTTCACTTAAACTACATAAAAAAAAGAACAATCTGTCTCAGTATTTCTTCAATTCATTTATTTTACCCTTACATAATTTTTAAGTCATGCTCAGGACAATGTACAAACTTACAGTGTTAGTAGGATCTTCTTGCAAAATTCGATCATATAGTTGTATAGCATCATCATATCTATTTAAAAAAAGATATATCAAGAACCATTACCTTAAAATGTCATAAATACAGAAATATATTAAATAGAGCTTTATCTTCATTCATAACTGCTATGCAAGTCTTCCTATTTTCATTTTACAGTGACCGTTTGGTTTATTCTTAAGAAAACAAAAATTTATAAAGTATTTACAGAAAAACTTTCTTTAAAAGAAAACCATTAATTTCATCTAAATAGGAAAGTAAGAACTAGTGACTGAGGCTACTTTGATGATGTTGAGAGTTATGTTGCGATTGTGGCATTGGAGTTATAAATAATAGCAGAGGACACAGAAAAGGACGGTGAGAAACTGAGAAAACAGGCAGGCATCATTACATCTGGGAAGCGAAGGGAAAAGGTTTAACAGCAACAGCAGACTTGGGTACTGCAGCCACACTTGCATTAGCAGACTGCATGCGCATGAGCAGCACACACACTCAAGACTCTATGCGGAAAGTGGACAAAGTGTAGAACAGATGAGACACCAATACTCATTTCTATATTTCTAATGAGCAGGAACTCCCCAGGCTGGATTATTTAAAGTGACAAACAACAAGAACATATTCAAAACTCTTGACCATCCAGGTACAGGAAGCACTGAACGACATTCTCACTCCCGTGAGAGTGATGGCACTACCCTACCCTACAATACAAGGTGACAAATCTAAGGGGAATTCTAGTCTACTTTTTGGTTCCAGGGTCCTTATCAAACTGAATAAGGAACAATTTATTCAATATATTCAAATTGTTCCTTATTCAGTTTGATATCCATGATGTTAAACCAAACTCAGTTTTTCCAACCAAAACCTATTATTTTCCATTTTTGTTGTTTTCTTAGGTTGATGACAACTCAGCATAAAGACAGAAAACTAAGTCATTTTTATCTTTTGCCTTTACTTCTAAAATGTTACTGATGGTTAATTTTCTATCTCTTAATTTCTTTCACCCATCCACTATATTCTGCTATAATTTACAGTAATGATAGCCGAAGTAAGAAGCTTAAAACTGTTCTTTTTAGACTATATAGTACATAAAATGCTTTTACAGATAAATCCAAAGGTTGTCTCTTCCCTTAAATAACCTAACGTGTTTCTTCATATCTTCAGTTGACACCTTTTGGCAGGGCATATTAGTGACCCATACGCATAACTGCCTGTTATCTGCAGCTCCAATTCCAGCTGGAAACTCCACTTCACCTTACCCTCAATCCCAATAAACCCTTAACTCTCCTGGATTGCCCCACAAAAGTACTGGACACATTTCAGCAAAGGTTTGAATGCATCCCCACCTGTGCTTTAGTTGAAACAGATCATCTCTTCTCTCCATTTCTAGGCTAAATGTACTGTTCTAAAGGAGTTGTTTCTCTACAAGATTGAAAACTCTTGATCCAAATGATGACCATGTCTTCCATGTACTTTGAGAGCATATGCATGACTATGGGTATGCTTTCCTCAAACCCTAGGAAGCTGGCAATACCCTTATTTTAGAGGAATAAAGCTGAAAATACCTAGTATTCACTGGCCAAGTCCAAAACTAGAACCTGCTGGAACTGGGATTTAAAGTGCGTCCTCCAGCAGAGCATGACCTAATTTCGCTAGTCAGAAGTGGCAAATGGGTTACACTTCGTGTCATGCTGTCTACTAGAAGTACGAGTGTGATTTGTATTGAGAGTACCCTGACATCAGACAGAGCTGAGGAGTGCAAAGCCCTTCTGCATCAATGATGCACGGTAGGTACAGCTGCCATGTCTGCCATGTTTAAGTGAGATTAGGTTGTTCACTACATGCTTACCTTTCCATAGCTTCAAATCGCATGCCCGTTAACCGCTTTACTCTGTGACTACCAGGGAACTGTCTTCTTAACTCCTGAAGACAAAACTGAAAACAAGCGTTAACAAGTGCTATTACATCACAGAAATGTTCTATAAAAAATGTTCTACGTAGGCTCGTCTGTAGCCCCAAGTATCTAGCTTCATTTACTGTTTACTGGTAGAGTGTTCTGTCATTTTCTTTTATATGCATGATGCTAGAGAGCAAGCCCAGAACCTCCTACATGCTAGCCACACATACTACCGCTGAGTTACAACCCCAGCCCTGTCAAAGCAGCATTCAAAAGTTGTTATGGAAAGCATTCAAAACATGCTCTACAGTAAGCCTTAACCATTTACTAATATATAACTCGTAAAGTGAATTAAATATAGGGTAAAATATAAACTAGTTTAAATACTTACCAATGCCAAGTCATCCCGACCATAGTCTAGGGCTGCAATCATCACCTGCTCATATATGATCCAAACTAGAAATATGAGATGGGAAAAAAAACTGAATTTAATATAGAAATTTCTCAAACAGAAATGAATACATTCTTTCAACTATTTTAAAGAATGTTACTTATTACTAAAAATTAGTAATTATAATATTTTTAAACTTAAGAATACATCTTTATAGTATTCAGCAATATAAAACCTTCTGAAGTAAAAAAAAATCAATATTTAACACATACTAAATTTTAAAATTCTCCATGAAAAACATTTTGACCAGACCAGAATACCATTAGGAATATACACTAGCTAAACATTTACCAGCTTTGTGAGCCTCTGAAACCTAAATGCCTGTCCAATGGCTTCAACTACTGTGGTAGTTTAAACAAGACTGTCCTCCACTGTCTCTGGTGCACTTGAGGACTTGATTCCCAGTTATTTAGGGAGGGCCAAGATATGTGGCCTTGCTGGAGAAATCCATCTCTGGGGGCAGGACTTGAACTTTCAAAGCCTCTGCTTCATGACTGTCGTTCAAGACACAGTCTTCAGCTTCCTGCTCCCTCCACCATTATGGACTCTAACCTCCTGGAACCATAACTCCAAAAACACTGTCTTAACTATTCAGTTGCTGTAATAAGACACCATCACCAAAAGCAATTAATTTGGGGTGGAAAAAAATGTTTATTTCCCCTTATGGCTTGAAATCTATCATCCAAGAAAGTCAGGGCAAGAACTCAATCAAAGAACATGGAGCCAGAATCACTGAAGAGGCAATAGAGGAGTGCTGCTTATTGGCTTGCTCCTTGTGGCTTGCTCAGACTGCCTTCCTTTACAAATTGTCCACAGTGAACTGGGCCCTCCAATACACAGCATCCATCAAGAAAATGCACCAAGGGCTGGCCCACAGGCCAATCTGGTGGAGCCATTTTCTCAACTGAGGTCATTCTTCCAACAAGATGCTAGCTGTGCCAAGCTGACATAAAACTATATACCACAGACTCTTAGTTGTCACAGTCATGTTGCTATATCACAGAAACAGACAAGTAACTGAGCAACTACTATTAACAATATAAATCATACTTAAACTAAAGCACCATTAATTAAATTTCCTGAAACAAAGGAGTGATAGAACTAATAATGGGTAAAATATTAATAAAACACATTAACTAGGAAGAATCACAAATAAAACATGCTGGGCTTACACATAATAATTGAAAACTTACTGTCATCTCCAAGCTTAGAAGCATAATCATTAATTAATTCTTCTCCAACTTCCATGATTTGTTCACTATTTCTTGAGTTTTCTTCTCTCCATTTTCTCATTTTATCTCGCATTTCTGAAAAATATATTTAAGTTCTTAACACATACACATATATGAACACACACATGCACACATATATAGGTTTCAAAACATTGACTAAATGAAATCAACTATTTACATAAGGAAATGAACTCTGGAAAAGAACTCTAACTTATAGGCAAATCTGTGATATCTCAATCATCTTTAACCATAATGAACGCCATGCTATGGGTCTTCTACAAAGGCCCTGCATCACTTTAGGCAGCTGTAGGTCTAAACTGGAGGAGTGAGGGGAAATATAGATTACTTTCAGAGTTTTATAAAAGAGTATTTTTTTTAAAAAAAAAGAGCGTACAATCATGTATAGACATCTCAAAATATTCAATATATTTTTGCAATTTACTCATGGATATAAAAATTTTTCAAGACTACCATATTGGGCTATCAGCAACAAAGGGATATTCACATCAAGTTTCCTTAATAGTACACTGTCATGCAGGAAGTAAACAAGAAAATAACACAACTAAGGAAATCTTTGATTGAATTAGTAAATAATATGAAGAGCAGCAGTAAGATCAACATAAACTGATATAAATCAACATAATGAACATAAAACAGGAGAACAACTGTGCAAATCACAACAGGAAATTCTAGAATCAAGAACTCTGCTGTGGTTTAAATGTCTCTCCCAAAGTTCCCAGGTTGGAAATCTGATTCGAATAAATAAGATTGGGGTGGCACCTTTAAGTGGGCTTTAGACTTTAGGGCTCTTTCCTAATGAACGGATCAAAATCAGTAGCAAAGAAATGAGTTGACAGGGCTGTTAGTTATCATAGGGGGCTATTTATGACAGAAGAGCTTCCTGAATTTTTTTTAAAAAAGGAAATCAGTCCCTTAAGTGTTCTATATTCACAAAATTTTGGTCTTCCCCCAGTAGCTGAGAATCAAAATGCCTTTGCCAGGACCATGAGCCAAAAGAAAAAAATACAAATCTGTTTTTGTTTAAAACAAAAATCTCATTAAAAATAAATAAATAAATAAATAAAAATAAAAGTCCAGTCTGGAGTGCTAAGAACTGACTACAATAAAAACAAAACCAAAATTTTCTAAAGAAATTTAATATAATAGTGAAGGCTAAATGTTTATAACACTTCCAATTTTTTTTTTTTTTTTAAATCCTATCACTCAAAGTGGTGATGGGCCTTTAGGAGGTAAACAGTGCCCTCACAACAAGACAGAAGAGGCTGTCTTTCCTCTGCTTTCTGCCGTTAGTTGTCCAATCCTCACTAAACACTGGGTCTGCCGGGACCTATACCTCTGTTTTTAATCTCCAGAAATGTACAGAAACGATGTAGAGTCCACAGACATCCACCCTGGTGTATATGTTATATTGTTATATTGGCCTGAACTAAGCCACATAATTAAGGTTGATTAACTGTCAACTGAGTGCACACATGCTTTCTATTTTAACCTGTATCCAGAGGTCTGAGTGGGAATGCAGCACTCACACTGCTGGGCTTCAGATCTCAACACTGACACTTTCTACCTGTGTGATATTACCTGAGTTAGTGCTGCACTTCACATCTCAACACTGACATTTCTACTTGTGTGATGTCACCTGAGTTAGTCGCTGCACTTCAATGTTCTTATCTACTAAGTGAAGATAAAAAGAATACTTGCATAATTTGGCTACTGTAATGACCATTATTAATTAATTTTATATACTGAACAGGATCTGGCATAACATGGATTTTTTTTTAAAAAAAATGGCTGTTACTAGTATTTCAGCTGTGAATGTTTGTTCAGTTTTTTACACATAATGCTAATTTTCTTATGTTCCCTGATTCAACAAATCTCAAAGCTTCTCCCTAAGCTATTCAATATTCATTTATAGTTGCAAACACTATTATCTCATTCTAATTACAGCATCTCTGGCTTCCTCTTTATTTTGCATTTTGTCAGAAAATTTAAAGTTGAGTCAATAAACTACCACCTCATGGCCAAAATTTGCAGCCAATAATTTTGTAAGCAAAGTTTTATTTCAACCAATGGCTTTTTTTTCTGAGCTGTAATGTTATAGGAACAGGCAATATGAGCCAAAGAATACACAAAGCTGCTATTTACTATCTGCTTCTGCACTGGATGAAAACATGCTGACACCTGGCAACAGGCACTAAGAAGCAGAAAGAGCAAGGGATCTAGTCAGACGGACTAGGACTTAAGTCAGCTCTGCCTCATCAACCTAGAAATGGTGACTTGGGACTTATCATTTAACACTTCTTCCACTTAGGTTATTAAATCACAGGATTACAAGCTTTATAGTCTCTCACCCAACTTAAAGCAAAGCAGAGAGACCACATGTTTGGACAGTGCTATCGTTTGGGCTTTTGTTTTGCTTTTAAGCTGATTTTGATTACTGTGAAGAGGTCATGAACTTGTAAATTCCGCAGGCATTACTATAGTCTTTCATCCAACTTCATACATACATTGCCCCCATTTATGTGGTCTGAGTTTAGGGCTCCAAAAAACCACAGAGAAACCCTGTCTTGAAAAACCAAAAAAAAAAAAAAAAAAAAAAAAAAAAAACCAAAAAACCATTCTACTAAGTGTAAACTACCACAAAATATTTAGTTACCTTTGCTATAAGTAAAATAAGGGAAAACTTATGGCTAGAAACAAATTTTGGGAGTAATCCTTCCTTAAATATACTTTTATTTTGGGCTGTCCCCCAAAGGTGGCATTTTATTCTATACTATATATGTAAGCTACTCACCATGTTCATGTTCATGCTAGGAACATGCTGTGCACTAAGGGTAATTAATATCGATAAAAGAAGATCCAAAGGGGCTAGCCTGGTATCTCTCCCTAAGGACCAGTTCTCATTGTGCTAAGACACCTGGGCCTTGAAAAATGAGGAACCAGCCTGCCTGCTACTGTGTCTTCTGTACAGAACTCCTTCCTTTACCCCTGCACTTCCTTCATGCCGGTGTGAATTCTGGAACACCAATTACACATTCACTTACATGAACCAGCACATACTCTTTAAAAATTACTCAGTCCCACAAAGTCAGTTATAGGACGATGAAAATTGCCATAGGGCCTAAGGGACAGCGTGGGTACTAAATCTGAAGGAAGAGAAGAATTTATTTCAATGTATTGAAACTTCAGCAGAAGTCTCCTTCCAATTATATACTGCAATGCACTAGTGAAGTGTGCAATCAATCTAGTGTGTTCCAGCATTTGAAAGCAAATAGATACAGAGAACCCACCAAAAGGACAGTATGAAAAGTATGAAGTGAACCTAGAAGAGTGCTACCAAGAAAGAGGCACAGGACTGCAGAGAGATGACTCAGCTGGTAAAGTACTTGCTATAGAAGAATACAAACCGTAGTCCGATCCCTAGAACCCTTGCAAAAAGGTGGACATTGCTACACCCTCCCTTAATCTCAGTAATGGGATACAGAAACAGGTAGATAGATACTGGGAGTCAATTGGCCAATCAGTCTAGCTAATGTGTGAGTTCAAGGTGGAGTGGGAAAAGCTGTCTTGAAAAACCGAGAAGAAATCATAGAAAAAATACCTGGCAGAAACTTGTGGCATCTTCAGGCATACCAATACCATACATGCACACATATACAGAAAAATAAAATCTCAAAATCTTGCATAGAGGAGTGATTTGTAATAACATAACATAGATAGATAACATAAAAATATTTGATGGGCACAAGGTCTTCCTAGCACCTTAAAGGAAAAGGAAGGCACAGAAAGCACCTGTAACATCAGTAGACACCGTCTACAAAACAGTCCCTCAATCTACGGCTCAGAGAACATTCCAGAAAAGTGGAGGGAGTGGAAAGACTGAGAGTCAGAGGCCAGGAAGTCGGCTGTAAGACTGTGTTTTCTAGATATGGCACGGAAACCACATCCATAAAATCTCAAAATGTGGTTTCTTATGGGATGAAGGAAAAACGAAAAAAACAGTAACATCAGTAGACAGGGTCCTGTGATGTAGGAAGTAACTTTTGAGCTCGGCTCCCAGAGATTAAAGTTGGAAGCAGGGAGGAGTGAGAGTCAGGAGTGAGACTGTGAGGGAAGAACACTTAGTGAAAGGAAATGCATGTGCTTACTCCTAACACAAGAGCATGGCGAATCAGGCAACTTAGAAAAGACAAGCAGAGTCAGGCCACACAACGGGGACAGGCTGGATGCCACCAGATCCTCTAGCAATGTGACTTAATACGATCAACCCATAGCTCAACTGTTTTCCTCCTGTTAGGAGCTTACTGACCACTTTAAAATAAGTTCTTCTTTTGCTACTCAACCAATCTGCAAAGCACTAACTATTCCAAATCTAGTTACGGCACAACACTTTAGAATGCCCACAGGACAGCAGCCGTGCTACGTAGTCATGATGCTTGCTGGTAGTGGCAAACCTACTTTTCCTTTGATGGTTCTCATGCTAACAGCTTTTAAAAGCTATACGTCACATAATACCTTCATAACGCCACTTTAAAAAAATCATGAAATATTTAAAACATTTTTAAAAGCATTGAAAAGAACATCCCCTCACATATCTACTGTACAGCTAAAGGTACAGTTGGACACAAATCTTTTAAAAATGAATTGGTGGTGCATGCCTTTAATCCCAGCGCCCAAAAGCAGAGGCAGGCGGATCCCTCTGAGTTCAAGGCCAGCCTGGTCTACAAGAGCTAGTTCCAGGACAGGCTCTAAAACTACAGTGAAACCCTGTCTCAAAAAACAAAAATAAATAAATAAATAAAATAAAAATGAATGCACGCCTTAACCCTGTCTCGAAAAAAAAAAATGAATTGATAGGTAGGCTGCTCCATTAAATTGTAAACTCTTTGAGCACCGGGGCTGTATAATAAACTTTTGCCTTGTATAATACTTGAGATTTATTCCGGATCAAACAACAAGTGTAAATTTCACTCTATATGTTAAAGATCCACGAAGCCATTCAGTGGGCAAATTACCTAAAGAAGTGCCCTACACCATGCTAACTGCTGGAATACGCACTGTCCACGAACACAAATTCCACGCTTAAAAAAAACTCATTTATTCTCTTAAGAATGACTCCTACCAGCATTTCTGAGAGAGGTAACAGCCCTTACAGAGCTGATCCAAGATTTGAATGTTTTATTTGAAGATTTATTGAAGATCTCCACCCTTGGTGAACCTGACAGGAAAAGCCCATCACCTATGAACACATGCCGCCAAATTAACCAGTTACATTTCCCTTCAGAAAAATGCAGTATTGGCAGAGAATAAGTAGCAAGCTATGTTGTGTGTGCTCTGCGTAAGTTCACGACCCGGTTCTGACAAAAGTAACATATATGTGTGTGTGTGTGTGTGTGTGTGTGTGTGTGTGTGTTATATACACACACATACATACATATATGTATATATATGTATATATAGTGCATGTGGAAGAATCGTAATTGTTTATGGCTGTTCCACACACCTTTTTACACACTATAACCGTTCTAAATAATTAGCACGGGCCTCACTGAATCTATTTATTTCTTGGCTTTAGACAAGCTTTACTACATGGATTCCGCCTCCTCCACGCCTCCCAGAAGCCACAGGAAGTGTGACAGTCGCAGCCCCGGGTCCCTCCTGCTTCCTAAGCAGATGACAGGACTGACGGCGGGAGGGAGGCAGAGGGAGGATAGGTGCAGGGACCGGCAGAGGCGACAGGTACGCCGCCGGGGCCCGGGAAGGAACCCGCCTCGGTGTCCACTCGAGTTGGCCCGTTCAGGGACAGCTGCCCTGCGGAGGACACAGCGCAGGACGAATCTCTCCGGGACACCGGGCACTTCGGAACCACGTCCCAAGGATTCGGAGCTTCCAGAGCCCTCCCCGCCCGAAATTACCTTCCCAAGTCACGTCGTAACGCTCTGTGACCTTCGCCATCTTCCTAGAACCCGGTGGTGGCGGGAGAGAGGGCGGGGAAACGCAATCGTCACCAGCGGCCGGGCGGTGGCAAATGACGAAACCACGTTCCATTGGTGGACGGAGGAGAGGGGGCGGGATCCACTGTGCCTTTGCACAGCACTCAGGGCGAGAGGGGCGGAGCCAGAGGAACGAGAGTGACAGGGCCGGAGGGGCGGGGCCGGAGGGCAGGGCGGGGCCGGAGGGCAGGACCGGGAGGAGGTGCGCGAGGTGCAGAAAAGGATGCCGGGCTGCGGAGCTGGCTTGGCCTGAGGTAAATTTCTTTTTTCTTTTTTTTTTTTCTCCTGAGATATTAACAAATGCGACGCCTTTAGTAGTCGCTCTTCCCTTTCATTTTCCTTTACATAGATGTACTTGTTCTCTTTTTCAGAGACTTCTGAAACAACGTTCTAGTCAACTATTTGCCCCACTCCCAACTTTCCTCCATACATAATGGCATTGGCTTTCTATGGGGTTTTAATATTCAACCAAACAGAACAACAGCAGAGTTTTACGAACGATTTGAAGGATAATGTGGTAGTCTCCATTTGCATTTTCTACCCTCGGTGCCAAGTAATTCTATGTTTATAAGACCCAACTTCATGCCTTCATCCATAGTATTTATTTTCTTTATCCTTCCAGTCACAAGTCTAGATTAAAATTTCCATAAGAGCACCCAATGTGTATCTACTTATAAAGAATGAATAAAGAGAGGAATAAAGATCCCTGGGCGCCTAAACATTGCCTCTGTTCACACCGAAAGTTTGTTTTCATGACACGTTAGACCACTTCTCCTGTAGCAAAGGTGAAATGGCTGTGTTGCGAGCAAGAAATGTGAGGGTCCCCAGCCAAGCATTTAGTATTTCAAGCAATGAGGATATTACACTGTAGAAAGAAGATATATAAGGTTGGGGGGGGGGGGATAAAAATACATTGCAAATCTGCTGTAGTTAGAGGTTAGTAAGGAAAAGACCATAGAGTTGAGGCTGGGGTGGGGGTGGGGTTTTTTTTGGTGTTGTTCCCCCAGCCTTATTGAGATATGATTGACAAAACTACTTATTTACAGTGTACAGATTAATTATTTGGGATGATTACCACAAATTGATTAATTCATCCATCACCTCTAGTTGTTACCATGTTGGGAAGTAGAGAACAAGTAACAACTTTTACCAAAATATTAACTATATGATATGATACTATTGTTGACTAAAATCTCCACGCAAGTGTTCACACAGGTATTCCTCCTATAAACAAAAATGTACATCTGTGATCAACAGCTCCCTATTACCAGCCCTTGGGAATTTTTAAGATGATGGTTGACTCAATGCCACCTGCCACCAAAGAGCCATGAAAAGATAGAAAAGACTAGGAAACTTATAAACATGGATTAGATTCTGAAGGAGTTCCTCATCAGACTAAGAAGCCTTAAAACAAAAAAAATTCATTCAAAAAGATAGTAAACGTTTCAGTTAAATGCATACTAATGCTCTAAAAAGACACCATGTTATATAGAACACTGTCTCCTACCGTTTCTTCCTCTCCTTCTTGCTCTCCTGCCCAGGCTCCTACTCTCCTCCATCTCCCTGTCCCCTCTTTCTCTCCCTCTCTCCTCTTTCCCTTCTTTTCTCTTTTCTCATGCCTATTCCTGTTGTTGTTGCATCTCCCGAAACTCAAAGGCATACCTACTTTATAGTATTTGAACACATATAATTACTTCCGCTTTTAGTCTGCCATTAACCAAGTGTCCCACCGTCCCCACCCCTGATTTTTCCATTGACTCAATTATTACCACACTTATTTATGCCCCTCTCCTCTACTTCCATTTAACATCGAACTTGGAACTAGTCTCATGGGGATTGCTCACTGTCTCCTTTATCCACATTAACTTATCAGTACACACAGTATCATCAGCCCCTCTACTCCCTGAACTAACTGCTGTTTGATAACCATTTTTATAGTCATGTTCTACTCTATTATCACCAGGCAACACTCAACAGGTGCAGTCTAGAGATAAAGCCTGGTACATGGAGCACCAATCTAACAGCCAAAAATAGCACCACAGCTAAACATTAAATTCCTATTAATTTTGTAAATATGTCCACTGAAAGAAGAGAAGAAACTTGAATTAAAATAACAAGTCATAACCAACATTCTAACTGAAGATAGTCATATCCCGGGACATAAACCTAAGTAACATGAAAACTTAAGACAACTTGATGCCTCCAAAAATTACTAACCTCACTGAAATGACTCCCAGTTAAAATGTCTTCCATAAAAGTTCAGATGCAGAATGTAAAGGACTTTTATTATAGTAAAAACAGCTTGCAAAGGACTTAAATATTACTTAAGAGGACACAGATAGCAAAATGAAATGAGGGAGTCAATCCATATTGTCAGAATTCAATTTAATAAAGAGATAAAAATACTAGAAATAAAACCAAAATGATGATGAAAATGGAAAATAAAATAGGTAGGTCAAATAAAAAGTTCAGTGGAAAACCTCACTAATTGAATGGATGTTATTGAATATGTCATACATGAAGATATGAAGACAGAAGAGAAGCATTGGATGATCCAGTTAAGACAGATGAAAATTTTTGAATGTATGAACAGAATATAGCAAAAACTATGATTAAACCTACATACTCTAAATATACAAGAATAAATATTACATTCAAATGATATAAAAATATTTTAATGATGTCACAGAAGATATTGTCTCAAATATAGGGAAAGGAGTCTTTTCTGAATACAAGAGGCACACAAAATAAATAAGCAGGACCAGAAAAAAATCCACCCCACATTACATATTATATTTAAAATCCCTAAATATACAGAACAAAGTGTATATTGAGAAATGCAAAAGAGAAGACCCTAGTCACATACAAAGGCCACCAGTCAGAATAACTGCTGGCTTGCCACTTCAAACTCAAGAAGGGTTGATATCTCTTAGACTTCGATGGATATAATTGCAAACTCACTCTAATATACCAAGCAAATATCTGCCATAAGTTATGGTGAAATGAAAACTTTTTATGATAAAAGCAAGCTAAAGGAATTATTGGCCACTAAAGTTGCCCAGCATAGGATATTGGAAGGAATACTTCGGTCTGAAAAAAAAAAGATAAGCACGATAAAGAGATTACAGGAGGAAAAATTACTACTGCAACATTTATTAAACAGAAGATTAAAAAATTCTCAAACACAAAAAGATTAACAAAATAACGAAACAAAACACACCTTTCAATAGAAACTCTAAAATTCAGTGTTTCAATTCACACATTAAAAAAATACAGACTAGCAGAGTAAAACAATTTATCACTAAATATAACACTATACTAGGCTAAAAGGATGCAAAACATGAACAGAAAAACAAATAGAACCAGAACAAACGGATGTTCCTATTCTAATGTCTGCAAAATAGATTTCAAACCAATCCCTGTCATGAGATAATGCAGCTGTGTTAGTGTTCTGTTCCTGTGAAGGACACCATGACCATGACAACTCTTATGACCATGGTGTATTTACTGTTCCAGTGGTTTAGTTCATTACCATCATGATAGAGATCATCATGGCACATAATCAGGCGTGGCACCGGAAGTAGCTGAGAGTTCTACATCCAGGTTCACAGGCAGAAGGAAGAGAGAGCCCCTAGGCATGGCTTGGACTGTTGAAACCTCAAAGCCAAGCTGCAGTGACACAATTCCTCCAACAGTCCACAACTACCCAACAAGACCAGATCCTCCTGGTCCTTCTCAAGTAGTACCACTCCAAGAGGACTAAGAATTCAAATATATGAGCCAATGGGGCTCATTTTTATTTGAACCACCTTCGCTGCCATTGGCTCTCCCATGTAGACAGTGCCTCTCCAGAACTTTTTCCGGTCTTAGTACCAAGACGACTCCTAAAAGTGCTATTACATTCTGTTGCCTCTTAAATTCATGAACTTTCCAATACCCAGTGGCATTCATTGATGTATTCACTTAGAATAGTAGCTAATACATACTCACTGGTGTATATCCCAACCAGAACTACTTAATATCTCCTCCCTCACCCACCGTGGTATTCCTCATCATTGTTGATTGATCACTTGCTTGCAGAAGCTAACTGATAGTTGGCCAGAGGAAATATGCTTAATTCCTTTCTTTGATGTTTCTCCCATATTTATTTTGTCAGCCAAATCCAAATATTCCCTCAGGTTGACTTTTTAAATGCTTTGGCCTTCATTTAAGCCATCACTGTCTTTTGCCTGAGTAACAGACATCCAACCAACTTAGTTTCATTCTGGCTGTGTAAACTCGGCGTGATATACAACACCAGATCCCAGATGTTCTTTTCTTGAAGTCCTTAACAAATACTCTTTTGTGGCGATAAAACTATGCTTCAACGGTTTTATGTGGTCATATGGGACTTTGCCTATTGTTACGTGCATTCGTTTCTCTTCCTGTTTTATCTCTTTTCACTAGACACCAGCCATTCTTACCCGATTAATTACATAAAGATGCCTTGGACCTGTCATTTGCAAGTCTCTTCCTAAAACTGTCCAGAGCTTCTGGAAACTATCTTTTGTGATTCAGATCTCATTTTTAAGTGCATGTACCTATAACGAGGCCTTTCTTGACCACCCCACAAAAAAATAGTTTCTAGTTAATGACTATCATAAAAAAACTTCAGTATTTAATTTTTTCTCATCTATTACACACTTTCTTATTTTCTACTGCAATGGGTTGATAGCTCATACTTAAAATATTCTAATGAACATTGTATTTTCTTATTGCAGACACTAAATAAAACAATATGCCCAAATTCTTACTACTAAGAGTACCAAAGTTGGGTTATTTATGTTGAGGTTATAGTCATGCTTTGCTAGATGACATATTCAAGTTGAAATACCTGCGATATATACAGTGTGTGTGTCTGTGTGAGTGTTTGTGTATGTATGCCTGTGTGTGTATGTGTGTGTGTGTGTGTGTGAGAGAGAGAGAGAGAGAGAGAGAGAGAGAGAGAGAGAGAGGAAAGTA